GCGGAGGACTTGAAAGAGTGAGGTGGAATTTCCTCCCGATGGAGGAAGTTTGCTAGTGCTAGTGGAGGACAATGGTAAATGGTCATAAAAGGGACAAATGGGATGGGACCTCCCTCTGCGCACTTAGACACGGCTAAATAAAAGAAAAAGTGGGAGGGATTGAGATAGTGGTGCGGTGGGGGTGGGGTGAGTTCCAAATTTTTGGATTAAAAATTGAAAGAGTGGGGGACGGTGGGGTCAGGTACAAACACTAGTGTTTAGAGAGAGAAGTGACCAAACCTACTTCCAAGCGCGACCCTTTCTTTTTGAGAATTTCCAGAATCATTACAAAAAATATTCGAGGAGAATTCTCATATATGATTACCACATCTATTTTTCGAGTTCAAATATTCTACATTCAAAACTTTCTTAGGCCTCTCTCATATTTTGACACTTGTTTACCACTAACTTCCCTTTAAACTCTGTTAACTCACCTAACAACACTAAAAATAAAATATAAAAATAAAAATAAATATGGAACGTGAAGAACTAGATCACCACCATCGCACCGCAACCATCCCTCTCCTCCTCCTCCTCCTCCTCTCTCTCTCTCTCTCTATCTATCTCTCTCTCTCTCTCTCTCTCTCTCTCTCTTTCACCCTTCTAATTTGAATTCCTATGTTTTGGGTGAAACCCACTTCACATTGAATATCCTTAATCCCCAACGACTTTTCTAACGAGACACTGGAGCACTGTATCCCCCTCATCACCAGCATCACCAGCCGCTTTCTCATGTTTTCTTTACTTTTAGTGTCCTTGCTCATACAGCCTAATAACAATTCGGCGCATTTATATTTGTACAAATATAGACTATAGTTGAAGCAGCTGAACTAAAGCAGAAGATCCTGAACTTTGCAGTGAATTAAGCAACCTTGTCTTCAGGTTTTAGAAGCCTAGGCTGAGAGGTGTTCCTTCCTCGGCCGTAGTTGCTCAAGTGCAAAAGTCAATAGCGCATTCGAAACAACCACAATTTCTATTTTACTCGGCCAACCGAGCTTGGTCGTGAGCTAGCACGCCCACATTCACAAGAAGGATGTAGTTAGCATAGTAGTTACTCGGCTTGCATACCATGTAGGCCTAGTAGTTTTTATGGTCAACATTTTGGCATGCCCTGTGAGACCTAGTGCAAAAACTACAAATTTTATAACTATTGAAACTCGCACTGTCAAGAAGAAAACAATGATGGGAAAAACATTGAAAATCAAACATCTACAAATCAGAAAATTGTGCTTTCAAGCGCAGAACTGGCATAGGACCCTCTAGTTGCCGTCACGCCAATCCAACAACATGCCGAGAAGTGGAAATCAATCTTGATGGCTAGAAATTAACAGCGATTGTCACATCCCAACCCGAGCTCAATGCCGCCGTAACACGATATTGCTCGCTTTGGGCCCCAACCACGCCCTCATGTTTTTGTTTCTAGGAACTCACGAGAAACTTCCCAAAGGGTCACCCATTTTGGGATTGCTCTAGCTCAAACTCACTCAACTTCGGAGTTCCTACGGAACTCAAAGCCAGTGAGCTCCCAAAAGACCTCGTGCTAATGGAGGTGGGCATGTACTGGGCGATGTGGGATCTAATAGCGAAGGCTATCGCAAAGACTACTAAGCCCGTCAATTTTTGACCTCCAGAAGGGATGGTCAAGGAAGACGAGGACAAGGACAATGAGGCCTCGGACGTCCTTCCTAAAACCTATCTAACTCCATTTCAAGATTTTGAGAGCATAAATAGTCTCTGGTGGTCAACAAAGAGAAAAAAAATTGTGGTAAGGACGAGAGTGTCAATTGGCTTATCCGATGCTTAGTGCCTGAATTTAAGAGTTAACCTAATCGAGATTAGATGATGCAAGGATCGGATTTGATAAACTTTTTGGCAATTCACCTCTTTTGGGATCTTTTGTTACTTTATTAGCTTCTTTCTTCCAATGTCCAACGGAGGTGACTTTGCTCGCGTGTTTACAATCTATCCCAAACTACCTAGACAGAATAGGAGCACCTTTTCATCTTTTCTGCTAATGTGATATGCGATCTCAACCTTTGAATCCCCGGAATAATGTTCGAACGGTGTCGCACCCTAGCGACATATGAACTATTTCACCTTGATCCTACCTTTCGTTAAACCTTTGCAATCACAAATACTTATTTCTAACGGGAAAAAGTCCTTGATGGGCGTTGGAAATTGTCTCATTGGAAATACTTTTTTTCAGACTAGCCATCGAAAATACTTTATTATCGACGCACAAGACTTGTCGTTAATAGTTAGTTTTTCATCATAAATGAATTTTCAAAATGACAAAGTTATTTTATTTTTGACATGGAAATGTGGTTGCAAATACTTATATAGTTGTCAAAATTACTTTTCAAAAGACGACATATGTTTTTTGCGATGATGGTGTTCTGACCAAACAATTGTGTTGGAAAATCATTTTCGAACAAAATAATCTATAATTATGATACAAATATCAGAACGATTAAAAGCATTCATAATGTGTGTACGTGCGAAAACAAATGGCAAATTAAAGATGATAGGGTGTATATCAGGCCTGTCCTTGTCTATGGAATGCATCAGTTTTGGATCACAATTCTATCACAATGAGATACGCTTGTAGCAAACAAAAGCAAATTAAGGTAGTTAAAATTTTTGCATATTATTGTACTAGTAAACCAGTGAAGAGAAGCAGCATCGTCCCATGTACCCCCATGCTCATATTATTGTTAAATTAATGTTTTTCTATTGTTAGTCATCATTGTGTTTTCTCCACTATGTATAGTGGAAAATGACAGCTCCTTTCCCTCCGTCCAAGCGCGTTTCTTTATTATCGCATACCGCTTTCCTCACGTTTTCACCACGCGTTTCTTTATCATTTCATTCTGCTCTCCTCACGCTTTCACCGTGCTCCAAGCCTCCCACAATGATATAAACCATTTACTTGGGATGAATTTTTAAAACTTTATGTTTTCTCATCTTTTCTTTAATCTCATCAAAAATACAAGTATATAACGAAAATAACAACCCTTATTTTTCAGTATATACTATATTAGTACATGTTAGTTCATTTGATATTGTCTTCATTTTTTATAATTTCTAGAAAAAATAAGAACAAACACAACAAAATCATGGAATGCTAAGAATGTAGTCCTACACTAATGGAGATTGCCTAAAGATTTGGAATTGTCTTTTTGAGCACAAGTGACAAATTAACCTGTTAGCGTGTTGTATGTTTATTTCTAATCTACACATGTTCTTGGGAAATTCAGCAGAGACCTGTAAGCTATTCGTGTCATGAGCAATGGCCCTTGTAATAACTAGTTTTTAGAAAAATACGTGCTTACATTTACTAAATTTTGGACATTTAATTTAAGGTGATGCACCATTATTTTGTGTTTTAGCCTTATCGAACATTGTTTTGTTGCCGACAGAGATAGCCAGACAAGAAGCAAGGCTGAAAATAGAGAAAGACAACCTCGAAAAAGAGAAAAGCTTTCTAATGGGAACTACATCGAATCAAGATAATCAAGACAGAGCAATTGAAATCACTGTCAGTGCTGTAAAGTATCAGTGTCTCAGGTTTGTAAAGGCAAGGAAATGAGGCATTTGAACTTTGAAGGGTGGCATAAAAAAAATAAAAAATAAAATAAAAAAAGCGTATAGCCTCGATTACATCTGATCTTTTTACCTGCTTAATTTTGCAAACTTCATTCTTTGTATGAATGCTCCAATCCTGTGCATCCTGACATCCTATTGCAACAAGTTAGCGTTGTTATGATTGCTTCTTAAACTCAAAACCCTCATCTCCATACCGACAGAGCTGCATGATTGTTTAATTAATTCCTCTATAATTTGTTGTAACATGCTGCAACCTCCATTGTTTCTGATTAAGGTGGTTTAAGACAATCATTTTAATCAAAATTGTGTTCGCAAACATTGTTTCGATCCATTTTGATCTCAATCTTGGTTGTGTGATTTTGTTTATACTTGGTAAATGTCTTGATTTGAACAAGAGATTTTATCATTTTGGTAAAAGTTCATTCTTGTGTGGCACAGAACTGAGCGCAATGGCGTTTTAGGATTCATACAGCTGACCTCACTTACTAGAAAAAGGCTTTGTTGTTGTTGGTAAAAGTTCATTCTTGATAATAAGAATATGAAGTTTGCGTCGCGTATGGACCTCGTAGAATAAACGCATTCGGTTGCTTGGTCACGATGAGATTGCTCAATGGTAATGTACTATGCTCTAGCTTGTGTTTGGTGAACGTATAATTGCAGGAACAGAAATTATTAAATTGGATTAACAACATATTGTGTCTTACAAGTCTCCTCTATGCGAATCCATAGGACTGTATTTGGCTGCAGACAAAAAAAAACCCCTAGAAAATAGGGAAAAACCAACTAAATCCATAGCATACCCACGTTCCTTTTTCTCCCCGAGATAATTTGCAGGTTGTCCACTTCAGTTTGGTTGTACTGTTTTTAGAGGTAGTGGGTGTTACAGTCGCATGTTAAGGAGAAAGTATAGGGACCAATAACAACAAGCCACCTAAGCATGGATTGATGGGAAGACAAGCGCATCTTGATTTAAGGTAACCGTCTGATGGGTTAATGGGCCAATCAAACGGTTGACTAGTGATGTAGTGGGAGAGGGAGGGAGTTAACAACAGTTACTCTTCATCCAAAATCCCGCCCTTTTTCAATTACTTCGGAAGTTTTCTCCCACAAAACACTCACACTCACGACTCACAACTGCAAATTCTCATAGTTCGAGTGAAAGAGAAGATCAATCGCTTCGTTCTGAAAAAATGGGCACTTCGAGCCTCGAGTTCTTGGACGTCAGACTGCTCTTTTTGCTGTCCATGTTTTGCATGGCAAGTGGTTTCGGGCAGAGGAGTCAAGACAGACGGAAGATGCCTCTTGCAGCATCACAACAAAAAAACTTGAAATTGTTAAAGCTACACGTACGATGATACGCCGAAAAAAACTTGAAATTGTGAAAGCTTTTTTTCCAAATGAAATTCCAATGAGACAAAGGATTGTGACAATTCTTTAGAATTATGGCAGGAAGAATTGCAATCATAAGATGCCACTGCAATGATTCTCATTTAATTCGTGAAACTGAAAAGTAGGAGTATAGGAATTCTTCTCTATTCTTGGACGGTCCCACAGATGGCGACAACTGTTGGAGTGGAAAAATTCGGATCCTCCAATCTTCCAACAAGTAAATCCTGCAACCGTGATGAGAAGCCCACGACACCATCTTCGCTCGCCATCAATGAGGGAGGATGGAACCTGCAAGAAAACACTCCTACGCTCAAGTCAATCTTTGTTCAAAATAATTGCAAGACATTGTAAAGCTGTCTGATACTTCCCTCTGCCCCATGCTGGTGGAGTTGTTTGGCCCTTTATAGCCATTCAAGTCCTAGGCTCCAAGCCTCACTTTCCTTATATTTCTCCATGTTCCACATTCATGTATATATTTCTCCATGTTTAGCATGCTAGTTTGCTTGTTTAGTGGAGGAATAATTTTTGGCTGCCACAAATGGTAACATAATGGTATGATCATTCATAGAATGTAGGTTTATGAAGATTTGTTGACAAGTTGTGTTTAGATTTTATATTATTGTCCCCTTGACTGCCATTGCATGTATTGAGACCAATTATTTTCTTGGTGATTTTTTTTTTTTTTTCAACCTTGGTGATTTGTGTGGTTTAATATTATATGTTATTTTTTTGGAGTATAGCGAGTTGGGAAACCTTTTCTTTTTAAATTAATATCTTTCGCTTTGTTTCATCTTACAGGTGCAGCTTGAGGGGTCTCTATTGTGGACTAAGAGTGCAGATATAGGTGGTAGTTTCAGAATTGTAGGATTAATTTGAATGCTTTTCTTGGTAACAAGAAATTTGGGGTTTTTCATGATGGCACTACCATAGTTCTGTGAAATAAAGTAAAGGAGATAACTAAAGATGGAAAATTGTACTTGTGAAATGTTTGTTGTAAAGCAATAGAAACAAATTTTTTATACATATTATCAAAGTTTATAACTACATAAGATTTATGAAAGTTTATAAAAAGTAAAGATATAAGCACTAACTGAATTATAAAAAAAATTTAACTCCCTTTAAAAATATTGTTCACAAAATTTTGGAGTTGAATCTTTCACGAAATTTGTAGGCCTTGTTCTTACGAGCGTTTATATCTTTTTTTTTTTTCTTTTTTTTTTTACATTTTTCACACTTGTAAATTAATTTCTACTAATTTTTTATTATTTTAATTCACAGGAAAAATATTATTAACGAGAGTTTGTATGGTTTTAAAAATTCAAAAGATGATATAACCATGGCAAAAGTGTAAAGGATGTGAACACGAGCGTTGTCATATTTTTTTTTTTTTCACATTTTTTGCACTCGAAAAATAATTATGAATTATTCCACATTTTTAACTTCCTTAAAACACTATTCACGAGGATTTTTATGGTTTTAAAAGCCAAACGACTACATAATCATTTCCAAAGTGTAGATCATGCAATAAGGAACGTTACCATAGTTTTTCACATTTTTCACACTTATAAATTAATTATTATGGTTTTCTTCATATAATTTGATTTTCCTACAAAATACTAAAGCACGATTAAAAATATAAAAAAATAGGACAACGTTCGTGGTTGCATCCTTTACGCTTTGATGATTACTTCATCATCATTTGAAATTTTAAAACTCTCCAGACCCTTGCGAACAATGATTTTAGGGGGAGTGATTATCAATAAAAATTCATTATAATTAACGTAAAAATGAGAAAAATGTGAAAAAATATACCAACATTCAGGACTGCATACTCTACACCCTTGCGAGGGTTAGACCGTCATTGTATTTTTTTAAACCCTCTAAACCGTTGTGAATAGTGTTTTCCCTATGACTTCAAAACAATTTAAAAAATAGTAATAATTAATTTACAAGTGTGAAAAAATACAAAAAAAAAAATATATATATATATATATATATATATATATAAACGCTCGTAATGACATGGCCTACAATTTTTACGAAGGAATTAACTCCAAAGCTCGACACAATAGTCCATAACCTTAGTGACAAACTCTAACCGCCCAATTGTCGTTTACGTTTACCCTTTAATTTTTCATCACTGGGAACCATTTTTTGGAATTTCTTTTTTGAAAACATGATCTCATAGTAAATTGGAAAAGATGAACAGTTTGGATCGTTAATATTACATTTTGATTTTTAAGGTTATACGAATATTGCTCAATGTTTATAAACTCTCTAGATATTATAGAATTGGTTCAAGCAATATTTGAACAAATTTAAATTTTTTCTAAAGGTGACATCAACGATCCCAACCGTCCATCTTTTTCATTCCACGAAAAGATTATGTTTTGAAAAAAGAAACGCCGAAAAAGGGTGCCGGTGATGAAAAACCCAAGATCCACATCCCAATCAGCAAGCTAAAATTAGCTATGCTAAAAAAATGAAATCAAACAAAAATTTACAGTTTATTTTCTAGTATTACAACTATGAAACTAGATCTTCTTCGAAATCAAATTCCACACAGACCACAAATCCTAGCAAATTTCAATTTATACATCTGTTATATGAATATACCAACGGCGAGAGAATTTGATTCCCAGAGATGGATGTCCAGAACCGCGGGACGGAAAGGAAGATTGAAACCAAATGAACAAAAATACATAAATTGAAAATTTTCCCGTAAATTACCGAGAGACCGAAAGTTTGCAATTGCAGTGGAGGGCGAGTGGTGGTTTTACCTGGCAGTGGTGGCGTGAAGGCTGACGACGGGAGTCGAGAAAACCCTGTCACGTCGTGGCTCCTATGGCCATGGAAACCATAGTCGAGGAAGTTGGACTGGGAGATGGAGAGGTATCGAGATAAGCAGAGCGAGAAAGGGAAGAGGTGAGAACGAAGAGAGAGGATGACGACGCTGGACTTGAGCTTGCGTCGGTGATGGAGACGACGACGGCGTGAACGGAATTTGAGATTTCCAGTTGTAAGGGTGCGATGTAGAGCAGAGAGTTAACAGAGAAAGACGAGAGAGGGAGGGATATCCCAAAAATTCTGAGGTTTACCCGCGAACTATACGGGCTTTTAGGACCCGAAACTCAGTTTTATTGTGAGGTGGTTTCACACTAAGCTTGCTTTGATAAATTTGTTTTCAACCGTTGCAATCAGATTCAACGGCCCAGATTTTGTACTCTCGCAAGGTCGGAAAAGTACGTCCGCAACTTAGAAATTGTGACATTACAATAGCATTTTGGTCACGAAACTTTAACGGAAAGCCCTTAATAGTGTTTGTCATGGTTTCTAAGGCATCGAAATATACGTCCCCCGAATTTGTGGTTTCCTGATCATAAATGTTCTTAGAAGCCCAAAATTGTAGCCTGAGCGCGCGGCACTCTCGATTGATTCCATGGTCTGGTCTTCTGCGAATCGCAATCCGACGGTGGCGATGGCATCGGCGCAGAACCAATCGGCAATGTGGATCTCTTCGACGAATATTTCCAACGAGCCGATTTGGACCGCAATGGCCGGATTAGTGGCAATGACGCTATGGCTTTCTTCCAAGGCTCCGGTCTCCCCAAACAGGTCCTTGCTAAGGTACTCTCTCTCTCTATGTATATATATTTGTATAGTTGGATGTGTATTGGTAGTGTGTGTGATTATAATTGTGTAATTATAGTGGGGATCGGGATTTGATGCCTGTGGAAATGTGTTCAAAATCAGATTGATTTGGAATTTTTAGTCTGATTGTAGTTGAAGTGCTTAATGTGAGCTCGAGATGTTGTTATTCTCTGATCTAAGCTGAGATTTTTATTTCGTGTAAGTATAATGCTGAATTGGTGTTCAAATGGTAGAAAATAAGTAGATGAGGGTTTTATACCACATTTAGTGAGGTTGAGATAGTTATGTTATCAGGTCATTAATTTACTTTTTGGTGTATCCGTTTGACCTTAGGTGGTAAGCAGACTTTAGAAATGTGGTATATGACCCAAGGATTGTTTATTACATTACAATTGTGTAGTACTGAAAACCTGCAGCATACAATGACTACGGAATACTTAGGATTGTAGCATACAAGGGAAATGTTGTTGGGTCATGATCATATCAACAAATAGGTTCTTGAAGCTGTATATGTGTTTTGCTAAAGGAATTTCCGAAGATAAAATGATAACCGGGGGCATAATATGTTAAATATTGATTATATGACTGCACTTTCTCGTTATCTATTTGTAACAGAAGTTTAGATCTGTTCTAGTTTCTATTGGTTGCTTATATTTATTGGCAGATATGCACATGCAGACCAGAGGGAGACTGGTTTACTTGGCCGGGCAGAGTTTTACAATGCCCTTAGACTAGACACTGTGGCACAAAGTGAGAGAGAACTTACGCTAGAAATGTTGAAGGCATCATTATATGGCCCGGCTGCAGCTAAAATACCTGCACCCAAGATAAATCTTGCAGCAACTCCTGCCCCTCAGTTCAATTCTGCTGCAGCAGCACCTGCCACCCAGGGTGGTGCTGTGACTCCGACATCCTCGTAAAATCTTGGGTTTAGGGGACCGCAAGTACCACCTCAGTATAGTTCTTTTGGAGAAGCACCTGCCACTCGGGGTGGTGCTGTCACTCCAACATCCTCCCAAAATCTTGGGTTCAGGGACCACAAATACAATCTCAGTGTAATTCTGCTCCAACAGCTCATGAGGGTGGTGCTGTTACTCTAACATCCTCCCATAATCTTGGGTTCAGGGTATTACCTCCAAGTGTGAGTGTGAACCAGAAAATTTTCATTTCTCAAGATGGCAAGTCATTTAGGTCTCCAGTGCCTCCATCTAGTCCTGATTCCCAGCCCACACAGGGTGTTGCTGCCCAAAGCTTTCCCGGGGGAGGTTCAGTGGGTGGTCCTCAACCACAAAACTCAAGCATGGTGAACGATTAGGTTAGTGGAAGGGCAGATGGTGCAACGACCTTGATACCCTCGCAAGTTGTAAACAAAAGGATCACTCCTGCAACAGAGGATGTATTTGGGCTGGAAACATCAGGGCCAACAGCTTCCCTACCAACTAGGCCACAGGCAGGTTCTAGGATCAGACCACCAGGACCACTGGCTAAGGATTCCAAACCATCAAATATATCTGGGAATGGCTATGCTCCCGACTCATCTTTTGGAGATGATGTGTTTTCTACAACCCCACCTCAACCAAAGCAGAATTTTCCTCCTGGCAGCATACCCGTCTCTTCAACCATTGCGCCAGTATTTGGTGGAACCCAGTCTTCAACTAGCCCAAGTACCCAGGTTGATGGCTAGCCTCAGCAGGCCCAGTCATTTGCAAAAGCCAACCAGCAGGCCTCAGCTCAGACTAGTGCTACTGGAGTTTCACCTAGAGCTGGGAACTCTGCTTCTAGTCAGTCCCATATATCATGGCCTAGGATGACTCAAACTGATGTTCAAAAGTACACCAATATTTTTGTGAAAGTTGACACAAACAGAGACCTGCATCTGGTATTCATCCATCAGACAAAATTGAATAAACATCTTGTAAATCAAATGCGTACAGAGGAGGTTAACTCGCTGAGCTCAAAGTTCAAAGAAGCAACCGAAGCTGATAAAAAGGTACTTTTCCCCAATTTTTTCAGCTTGAGCAGCAAAGTTATGTGTGCATGTTACTTCCTGATAAGTGTCAAATCATAACAAATATCCCAAAGACTTGGAGAAAGAAATTTTGGATGATAGTGAGCAAAATTGAATATTTCTAGGTCAAAATGTAGTTCAGCCATCAAACTCGTTTTGTATTTCATTTCTTTTTGTATGCATCTCACTTTTTCTTCATTCTTTTTTTTTGTTTAGTTTGTTGCGCGACATATAATATTTCTCCTTAATTTTGGAATGTTTCTAGTACCATTGAAGCACGGACCCCAATTTTTCTTTGCTGATCTTTGCTTGGTTCAAACAAGAACACTGAGTTTTGCCGGTGTTAGTCCAATCAGACCATTCATATTTATCGCTCATTGCAGTTCAGCCATCAAACTATTGCATATTTTTGTTGTGTCGAATGTTCAAACTATTGTTTAATTTCTAAGTTTATGATATAAAGGCAAATTTCAAGATCCGCTGGACTTGTAAATCAAGTTTTGTCCATAACTTGTGCTTTATAATGTATAAACAATACTAAGATAATAAAACCCTTGCCTGTTAATCATCTTGTTTCTTGGACAGACAAGTGAGCTATCAAAGTACATATTTGCCATAAAGTTTTTCCTAATTCTATTGGATACTGATGCTTAAGATTGTTGGATTAAAAGTCCGAATCATCTTCAGTTCCACTGGCTTCAGACCCATGATCATCACTTTCATTTGCTTCGGACTCATCACTTGATCCACTAGCTTCAGGCTCATCTCATGATCCACCACCTTCGGAATCGTCATCTTGTCTTGTTTTTTCTACTTTTGGTTCCCTCGACATGAAGACATGATAATTTGAATTTCTCAGCATCTTCGGTATACAATGGGCATATACCACAGCTTTCCACCTTCATATGGGAAGCAGAATCAGGTCATTCTTCTAAATCCACAGGGTAGAAGACAACACAGGCCTCTTTGGCAAGTTTGTAAACATCAGGGGAGCAACTTTTTCCTACCTCTTCACTTCTAAAGGCCTCATTCCACACATGCACGTGATGTTGGTTGTTCCTCGGGATAAGGTACATAGAACTGAACAGTTCATGGCATTCACCCATGAATGTGACAATGAAATTAGCTCTTACCCTCCTCAAGTCATACCGCTCATGTGAAACCTCAGAAACAACAACAGAGAGAGCGAAACCAAATAAGCCTGTTCGAAACCAATCTGGAGGAAGATCGATGTTTACTGAAGATCCCTCATTTTGATAGCTGAACCAATTTGGAATTTCTTTTCCTGGACATACAACGTTAATCTGAGGCCTGGGATTCTGAGGCAGAGTTGGGTACTTTAATGGCGCAATAGATGCCATTCGCATAACTGTAATCTGTGCTTCATCCATTATGTTGCTCCTTGAATTATTACATAGCACTGGGAGCTCTGGAAGATACTTGAGACTCCTACAGCCTCCAAGATCAAGATGAGTAAGCTTGTCAAGATGTTGAAAATACTAAGGAATTTCAACCAACCTTTCGGTCCGATTTTCGGTTTTCGATTTTTTGAACCCACCCCTATGCTTTGTCCCACCATTGACATAGTTATATTGGCTTCCTTGGAAACTCTTTTCCATGAAAAAAAAATCCATTTCGTCACACATACCACAGGAATATTGCTCAAATTTAATATCTATGTTGTAACTCCAAATTTCCAATTACAAGTTATGTTCGTACTCATAACTTACAGTTTACACGTAAGCAACCGTTCTTAGCATTTGCAAATAAGAAGGTGCAACTATTTATATTAAAAAATAGTTAGCAGCACATAAATTGACATGTACTTTTATAAAATTCGAGAAATTTGTCTCGGTGGTCGAGACATTTGCTACAACTAAGAACAAAAGAAGCTCCCACAACACAGTTGCACACTTCAATGCAGAATGGCCGGCGACATATGCCAAACTAACATATACAATTACAAAAAAATGGAAACTAGACAAGGCTGTAGCTCCAATTAAGAATGAATTACATTATTTGTCGATGTTTACCAATTACATCAATTACTAGGGCCAGTTCTTTGATTTTGATTACTTCAAAGATCCCTAATCTTTTATTGAATGGACCTTTCCATGCACATCATGCAATACGAGAAGTTTGGGGACTAATTAAATAGTAAAAATGATGCTAAAAAAGGATCAATCAAAATGCCTTAATTGTACCAACTAATAGAGTTATTTAAAGGGTTCATAATCATATTTTAGAATACTAATCATTGATCGTCTCGTTAAAGAAGAAGAGGACGTGAAACCGACGAAACGCAGCACAACACCGTCGTGGACATGAGCTGCTTATTGGTCATGATAACAGTATATAATCTATGGGGGTGTTTAGATTATGAATTAGGTTTCCTCTTTAACCGAATTTACAAAACGATGTGCAGCTGCAGTTTACAATCTGACAATATAACATATCAAATATATGGCAAACAAATCACTATGATTTCTAAATTGTAACTTCCTTCTCAATCTTGCATTAATTTGTACCTTTCTCTATGTGCATGCTTTTGTTTCCCCGTTATGTACAGGTTGACAAATCGAAAACATAGACTTGCCAATCAACTCTGATTTCTAATTGTATTTGGTGTAGTAATGCCTAATGGGCCGGGCTTATTAGAACCAGTGGCAGTTTTGAAATATCACAACAAATACAGTACCATTTTTGTAACAAAAAATCAAAACAAAACAATCGATTAACGACGGTCGCTTTTTTACCTCAAAATATTGGCATCTCCGTCGTGTTCTGATTTTCCTCCGAATCGGAGAAGAAAGGCAACCAAATTCCCTGTACGTCATCGTTTTCTAGGGCATCGAAATCTTGGTCCTCTGAATTCGTGGTTTTGTGATTCTTCCCGACGCTCCTCAAGCGTACGGCAGCCTGAGCGCGGCGCTCTCGATTGATTCCATAGTCTGATCTTCCTCGAATCGCAATCGGACGGTGGCGATGGCGTCGGCGCAGGGCCAGATTAGTGGCATTGAAGCCGTCGCTTTCTCCCAGGCTCCGGTGTCCCCAAACAGGTCCTTCTATATATATGTATATGCTTGTGGTTTATGTATAATTGGACGTGTATTATATTTGTGTAATTAATTTACTTTCTGGTAGAAAATAAGTAGATGAAGGATTTATAGTTAGTGAGGTTGAGAGAGTTATGTTATCAGGTCATTAATTTACTTTCTGGTGTATCCGTTCAACCTGAGGTGGTAAGCAGACTTTAGAAATGTGTTATATGACCCAAGGAATGACCAAGTATTGTGTATTACATTACAATTGTGTAGTAGTGAAAACCTGCAGCATAAGATGACTATGGAATAATTAGGATTGTCGCATACAGGGTAAGTGTTCTTGGGTCATGATCGTATCGACGAATGGGTTCTTGAAGCAGTATGCTCGTTTTGCTGAAGGAACTTCCGTAACAGAAGTTTCTCATTATCTTTTTGTAACAGAAGTTTGGATCTGTTCTGTTTATATTGGCTGCTTATATTTATTGGCAGACATGGGCACATGCAGACCAGAGGCAGACTGGTTTCCTTGGTCGGGCAGATTTTATACTACAGTTAGTAAGGAAAAGCAGCAGGCCAATCAGCAGACACCCAGAGTACCAGAATTGGAGAAATGTCATGTAAATCAACCGAGTACAGAGGAGGTTAACTCACTGAACTCAAGTTCAAACAAGCAACCGAAGCTGATAATAAGGTACTAGAACTTTAATGTTTCCCCAATTTTTTCATCTTGGGCAGCAAAGTTATGTGTGCATGTTACTTCCTGATAAGTTTCAAATCATAACAAATATGCCAAACTTGGAGAAAGAAATTTTGGATGCTAGAGAGAAAATTGAATATTTCTGGGTCAAAGTTCAGCCATCAAACTTGTAATGTATTGTTTGTTTTTCATTTCCTTGTGTATGCAACTCACTTTTTCTTCATTCTTTTTTTTCCTTTAGCTTTAGCGCGACGTATAATTTTTCTCCTTAATTTTGGAATGTTCCTAGTCCTATTGAAGCGAAGGCCCCTATAGTTTTATCGTTGTTACAAAATTGATGATTGTACTATTAAATTGGGGCTGTGCTTCTTTTTTTTTTCAGCCTTAATTTGCTGTAATTTTTTACCCTCTCTAATAAAATTTGTTTCGCTGATCTTTGTTTGGTTCAAACAAGAACACTGAGTTTGCCGGTGTTAGTCCAATCGGGCCATTCATATTTTTTGCTCATTATAGTTCAGCCATCGAACTATCACGTATTAATTAATGTCTAATGATATAAAAGCGAATTTCAAGATGCCACTGGACTTGTAAATCAAGTTTTAAAAGATAACAAATAGGATATTACACATTTGTCCATAACTTGCGCTTTGTAATGTATAAAGCCTTGCCTATTTTTCATCTTATTTCTTGGACAGACAAGTGAGCTCTCAAAGAACAAAATTTGCCGTAAAGTTTTTCCTAATTCTATTGGATAACAATGTTTAAAGATTGTCGGATTATAAGTCCGCATCATCTTCAATTTCACTGGCTTCAGACCCATGATCATCACTTTCACTTGTTTTCATACTCATCAGGTCTTTTAACATATTTCAACATGCTTTTTGAGATACATGAAAGCATATTGCAACCTTCTAGCTCAATATTTTCGAGAGCGGGAAGAAATTCAATTGATGATGTGTATAGCTGTTCAACCGATGTTCTGCTTATATTTAAGGACTTCAAATTATCCATTGGCTCCAAGATCTCAGGGAAGTTTCGTATACCGGATGCAGATATATCGAGTTCCTCAAGACATTTCAACTTACAAATGCTCTTTGGGATACTTGACAGCCTATAGCAACCTTTTAGTTGAATTATTTTGAGACCAGGGAGAAACTCGATTGGTGATGGTAGCTCTTTAACCGCTGTTCCACTTAAATTTAAGACCTTCAAATGTTCCATTGGTTCCAAGATCTCCGGGAAGTTTTCAAGTTCAGAGCACCTAGAGAGATCGAGTTCCTCGAGATATTTCAACTTACAAATGTCGTTCGATAGACTCACAAGCCTCTCGCAACCAGCCAATGATAATTTAGTTATATCCCGGGGAAGCTCAAAAAACTCGCCAAGAGATGTGCAGCCGTATAGATTAAAACTACCAGAGGCTTTCAGCTTACAACTGTTGCTTGGAAGTTTCTCAAGGTCTCTGCAATAACTTATATTCAAGTAAGAAATATTTTCGTTAGACCAAACTGATTCAGGCAACTTCTTTATACCACTGCTTTTTAAATCTAAGTATTGAATATTTCCTGGCATCTCTGGAAGGTACTTGAGACTTGTGCAGCCTGCAAGATTAAGGTGAGTAAGCTTGTCAAGATGTTGAAAATACGATGGAATTTCAAGCAAACTTCTACAGAAACAGAGATGTATCTTGAAATGGTTTTTGAATAATGCGAGAGAGAGAGAGAGAGAGAGTAGTTCAGAATTAAGGAGGATCTAAAGAACCAGAAAAGAGAGGGGGAGAGGGAGACTAGTTCAGATTTTACTTGAAATGGTTTTTTACTAGATGCACAAAGTTTCAAAGGCTCTTCTGGAAAAGCTATGACTAAGAGATGACCAGTTACAAAAACATAAAAAGGGGCACACAGGATGGGGCCCTCCCTTTACTTGCTTTGCCCACACGGTTTTGAATTTTTCTTGATTAGTAAGTCACCAATTTCTTTCAAGAAATTTCCAAACAATTTCCAAGCAGTTTTAATTGAGGACATTTCTAGAATTTCCTAAAGAAAATATGTGAATTTCATGCTACAAAATCGTAGAGGGCCGAGAATGTAGTTGTTCACCAATGGAGATGGACAAGATTTGGAATCTATATTTCTGAGCACAAATAACAAATTAACTCATTAAATTATTAATGAACAATCTTTAGAGTTACAAACTCATTTTGTTTGATTTCATCATAAGATATCACACAATCGTTATAACTATCAATTTCTCTACCATATTATAATCAATTCAAACAAAACGAATCTTAACAGTTAAAAGAAAACTAATGAAAATGTTAAAAGACATGCAGCACATGTAGAACAGAATCCCGATGATGATGACGATGACGTTGAAAACTTGAATGAACCCAATCAACTCCATCTCTCTATTTCTTGGATCAGATAGCAGAAAGAGAATCTGAACTACAGTCGCACCTGAGCCTAGATTAGAGTTTACTACAGAAAAATTGAAATTGTAGTCTGTGCACAAACTTACAAACGCTCCATGGAGGACAAAAATTGAAAATTTGGAGAAACAAGGATTAGTCACTTTCACATACTTAAAAATACTTTATAATTGATAATGCTGCTGCTTCAAAATTTTCTTCTAAATATGCTTAATTAAAAGAAAAGTTTGTCCAAAAGCATTTTCTGTAAAGCATCTTTCAATAAAATGTACGCATGTTCCAAGAAAATCATCAGAGTTAAACAATACAAAACATAAAAAATATAAAGACGAAATTGCGCACACTTTCAGCGCAGAAACAATCTGCATTCAAACGGAAGAAGGGTTATAAATATATCCCTAGTGGAGGACTTAAAAGAGAGAGGTGGAATTTCCTCCTGATGGAGGAAGTTTGCTAGTGCTAGTGGAGGACAATGGTAAATGGTCATAAAAGGGACAAATGGGATGGGACCTCCCTCTCCGCACTTAGACACGGCTAAGTAAAAGAAAAAGTGGGAGGGATTGAGATAGTGGTGCGGTGGGGTGGGGTGAGTTCCAAATTTTTGGATTAAAAATTGAAAGAGTGGGGGATTGTGGGGTCGGGTACAAACACTAGTGTTTAGAGAGAGAAGTGACCAAACCTACTTCCGACCCTTTCTTTTTGAAAATTTCCAGAATCATTACACAGAAAATTCGAGGAGAATTCTCATATATGCTTACCACCTCTATTTTTCGAGTTCAAATATTCTACGTTCAAAACTTTGGGCTTCTCTCATATTTTGACACTTATTTACCACTAATTTCCCTTTAAACTCTGTTAACTCACCTAACAACACTAAAAATAAAATATAAAAATAAAAATAAATATGGAACGTGAACAACCAGATCACCACCATCGCACCGCAACCATCCCTCTCCTCCTCCTCCTCCTCCTCTCTCTCTCTCTCTCTCTCTCTCTCTCTCTCTCTCTCTCTCTCTCTTCCAAATTGAACTCCTGTGTTTTGGGCGAAACCCACTTCACATTGAATATCCTTAATCCCCAACGACTTCGCTAACGAGACACTGGAGCACCGTATCCCCCTCATCACCGGCATCACCAGCCGCTTTCTCATGTTTTCTTTAATTTTAGTGTCCTTGCTCGTACAACCTGATACCAATTCGGCGCATTTATATTTGTACAAACATAGACTATAGTTGAAGCAGTTGAACTATTGCAGAAGATCCTGAACTTTGCAGTGAATTAAGCAACCTTGTCTTCAGGTTTTAGAAGCCTAGGCTGAGAGGTGTTCCTTCCTCGGGCGCAGTTGCTCAAGTGCAAAAGTCAATAGCGCATTCGAAACGACCACCATATCTATTTTACTCGTCCAACCGAGCTTGGTCGTGAGTTAGCACGCCCACATTCACAAGAAGGATGTAGTTAGCATAGTAGTTACTCGGCTTGCATACCATGTAGGCCTAGTAGTTTTTATGGTCAACATTTTGGCATGACCTATGAGACCTAGTGCAAAAACTACAAATTTTATAACTATTGAAACTCGCACTGTCAAGAAGAAAACAACGATGGGAAAAACATTGAAAATCAGACATCTACAAATCAGAAAATTGGGTTTTCAAGCGCAGAACTGGCATAGGACCCTCTAGTTGCCGTCACGCCAATCCGGCAGCATGCCGAGAAGTGGAAATCAATCTTGAGGACAAGAAATTAACAGCGATTGTCACATCCCAACCCGGGCTCGACGTTGCCGTAACACGATATTGCTCACTTTGGGCCCCAACCACGCCCTTATGGTTTGGTTTCTGGGAACTCACGAGAAACTTCCCAATGGGTCACCCATCTTGGGATTGCTCTTGCCCAAACTCGCTTAACTTCGGAGTTCCTAGGGAACCCAAAGCCAGTGAGCTCCCAAAAGGCCACGTGCTAATGGAGCTGGGCATGTACTGGGCGATGTGGGATCTAACAGCGATGGCTATCACAAAGACTACTAACCCCATCGATTTTTGACCTCCAGAAGGGATGGTCAAGGAAAACGAGGACAAAGACGATGAGGCCTCGGACGTCCTTCCTAAAACCTATCTAACTCCATTTCAAGATTTTGAGAGCATAAATAGTCTCTGGTGGTCAACAATGAGAAAAAAAAAATTGTGGTAAGGACGAGAGTGTCAATTGGCTTATCCGATGCTTAGTGCCTAAATTTAAGAGTTAACCTAATCGAGATTAGATGATGCCAGGATCGGATTTGATAAACTTTTTGGCAATTCGCCTCTTTTGGGATCTTTTGTTACTCTATTAGCTTCTTTCTTCCAACGTCCAACGGAGGTGACTTTGCTCGCGTGTTTACAATCTATCCCAAGCTACCTAGACAGAACAGGAGCACCTTTTCATCTTTTCTGCTAATGTGATATGCGATCTCAACCTTTGAATCCCCGGCATAATGTTCGAACGGTGTCGCACCCTAGCGACATGTGAACTATTTCACCTTGATCCTACCTTTCGTTAAACCATTGCAAAACGAACTGTCATTAGTGAGGGTCAAATGTTGTGGGAAGAGACATTTTGCAATCACAAATACTTATTTCTAACGGGAAAAAGTCCTTGATGGGCGTAGGAAATTGTCTCATTGGAAATATTTTTTTTCAGACTAGCCATCGAAAATACTTTATTATCGACGCACAGGACTTGTCGTTAATAGTTAGTTTTTCATCATAAATGAATTTTCAAAATGACAAAGTTATTTTATTTTTGACATGAAAATGTGGTTGCAAATACTTATATAGTTGTCAAAATTACTTTTCAAAAGACGACATATGTTTTTTGCGATGATGTTGTTCTGACCAAACAATTGTGTTGAAAAATCATTTTCGAACAAAATAATCTATAATTATGATACAAATATCAGAACAATTAAATGCATTCATAATGTGTGTACATGCGAAAACAAATGGCAAATTAAAGATGATAGGGTGTAT